AATTATTGTGGTTTCTACAATTGCAATAATAATATAGTTTTGTATTTCGAACTTCCTTGAAAATCTATTAGTAACTTAAGTTTTGCGTGGTGCGTTGGATTCCAAATTCAATTTATAAGTAATCCGTCAAAGAGGTTTTCTTCGTATTTCTTATTTATTCGTAAAAATAAAACCTCTTTTTGCAGTAAAGTCTTGTATGTCATTGTGTATATTAAATAATCTAACAAACAATATTAAATTAACATTCATATAATTTAATGGACTTATTAGTTGTCTATTAATAAATAAGACGAATAGACTTTTAAGCGTCACGATTACGAATGATTAATATAAAAGATACCTACTTATTATGAACACACGTTTTATAAATTATGATGATGCATGACCACTACAAAATGCTTACAACAACATATAGTTAACAAAAAACATTAAATATTAAACAAAAACTTCTATCACATCACATCACACCTCGGAAATGTATATAAAATGTAAGATAATTGTCAGTTCCTTGATCAATATCCTGATGTCTAAATATTTTGATGATCCAACCATGGCCAGCTGTTGAAAGTCTAGTGTGAACTGCAAAGGTCATTAGAACTGTTTGTTAATCGATTTAATTTGATTAACACCAAAAGGATTTTTTTTATTTATTTGTTATGCAGGCTATGCAATCATCTGTCTACTAGAAGTATTTTCCTATGTTTTTATTTAATTTAGAGGAGTACGTAGATAATCGGAAATGGTTTGAAATTAGATGGGGGACTGTACTCATCTCTCTTCCTTTTATTCATTGGTATGAAAATTGGACTCATAAGTAAACTACTTAACAAAAATGTCATTTTACTCTTTCTTCAATTCTTTGTTGCTCTTTACAATTTTTTGTATTAGGTATTAATTTAAAGTTTCATAGATTATGAATGACACCTAATCAGATTGAATACAATCTTAATGACACAAATATCAAAGGAAATTCCGTGGGAAAGCTATACTTTGGCAAGGCCCAGTTTTGTTCATTGCTCTCTGCTGGCTGCTGGCCGGACCGGGGAGTGAAACCATACTTGCGTTGTCTTGCGTCCTTCAACGCATTTATTGTGTCTCCTATAGTGTTACGCGGATGTCAGCTAGTTTGCCACCCTATCCCATACGAAATAAGCGTTAGTTAATAAGTGCGCCATCACAAATCAAAAAGTTGAATGACATTTCTCAGAAATGCAGAACATTGCCATATTGAAATCGTCAACATTTAATTTATAAGTAATTAATTGTCTCCAGTCTTAAGAGGTGTCGGCGATAACCTTACGCTTTGAAGCTACAAACCGAGTCGCCGATTATAATAATTAAAGTGAATCGCAGTCGTAATCGAATGAATATAAAATGCTATTCTTGTACTGAATGAAGAATCGTGCAAGATACGGACATATTTACATGTTCTTGTCTGACTGAGAGTTATTATTAACTCTGTATTGTGTATCGCAGTAATGAATGCTTCTTTTATTGCAGAATATGATTCTTTTTCTGTATTATGGTTTTGGCCTGGATCTTGGGCTTAGTTCTAACGAAAGAAGATGCTTTTGTGTTGTTCTATCCACATTATAAACAAAAGGTTATTTTTTTGATCATAGGGGAAGCCTTAGCCTTAGCCTTAGATTGATACGAAGCCGCGGAGAACGTAAACGATTACGGGGCTCCGGTTCGAAATGCAGAATTAGGAACGGGGTGGTTTTTAGTCAGTAAGAGTCTGACACTCCCTCCCGCCTCACGCAGGCGAGAGAAGTCATTCGGTAACCTTCAAAATACGCCTAGTTTTTTGGAGAGAAAATATGGATACCACTAAAGTTTGCTCAGTGCGAATCGAAGACTTGACAAAAATATGAAGGTATTTAATATTTTTCATTTACTTTCATCACTGCTTTACTTAATTAATATAACAATATGAACCCTAAACAAAATAATACAAAACTGTTATAATACACACGTAGCCATATTGGTTGCGTTGTAGGTGTTCATTTCATGATGGGTTCCTACCAAGTTACGTAGAGCAACGAATTACAGTACGTCAGCGTTAAGTTGAAATGATTACAAGTAGCACAGGCGCTTTACGTTTAAATTCTAAAGCGCCTTTGACATGATTTTATCCTTAATCACATTATACGTATCCAAGAGAATTTGCGGTATTTCTGCGGTAAGGTGTTTAGCAAGAGGTATGGTATTGTCGACTATGGTCCTCGTCAAATATGTTTTGTTTTTCATATTATCCATGTTTACCATAACATTACAGGCGAGTATGAAAACGCACTTTAAGAGATTCCCCATCTCTGTCAAATGGCTTCGGCAGGTTGTGGAGTTTTCGCATCGTCTACAAAATGAGTTTATTTGTATACCAATTACTCTACTTAATTATAATGAATATACAAAATTTAAATACTTAATTATTATCAGATTAAAAATACATTTTCTATGAAATCTAATCTTATCTGTCTATTCAATATTAAGTATTTGAAGAAAAACTAATGCACATATTTTTTATAAGTCGTTAGAAATTAATGAAATAACATAGTTATCCCGATTGGGGCTCGGAGAACCGCAAGACTTATGGACCGACTCGGAGAAGGAGTTAAGAGTGGGGTCGTTTTTAGTCAGTAAGAGTGTGATATTCCCTAACGCTTCGCCTAGGCTAAAAGGAGTCATTTGACGATTTTCTTCTCTCAAAAAATATTACAATGGTGATAAAAGCAATGGAATATTTTAAAAGAATTTTCCCACATCGATAAATTATTCACTCGAGTGTTACATTTCATAAAATTGTGTTTAGATATACGTATAATCTACCTAGTTACGCAAAACCTGGATTTTCCTATCACTTTGCGGTTTTCACAACAATAATCTGACATTCTTGTTTACTTCGCTTCAATGTTACTGAGAAAAATGATAATTATCGTATAGTAAGAACTAGGTATCGGTGATGCAATTAACTATGAGATCAGGGCAAATACCTGATTGCAAGAATGAACTATATTACAGGAAACGGATTTTTTGTTTGTTTGTAGGTAATCAAAATAGTAATTTTTCCATTGTGTGTATCTGCCATAAATTGTCTATTCCTTAAAATTGTCACCACATTTCGAATCTAAATGGAACGAATGGAAATTATTTAATATATTAACATTGATTACCAAAGTAATGATTTTTTTTCTCGATTTTTTATTGCTTGGGAACGTAGTATAGAATTAATTTCACATGTCGATTTTTAAAAACAATGTTTAATTTAAAAATGGAATCTTTAAAACGAGTTTACTGGCTGTCTATAAAAATAAAAGGCGGATTCACGCAGAAGGCCGCGTGAGTAATGAGGTTGAACAAGAATTTAATATTTCCAAGTAAGTAGTGACCCTTATCACTATAGCCAGAACAAAAAATATTTTGTATAAGTAGTTATGCATTTTTGTAAAACTGCTATGTCGAGAGGTCACAGTCAAGAAATATGAAATCTCTGGAATTTTCACATTTCGGTCACAATTTACACGTAGGCTGGGATCACAGAAGCTTGTAACACAGCCGGCAAAACAACATTGTATAGCATCCGTATTTTTCCTACATCTAGATCAGCTGTATCTTGCTAGTCAAGTAAGTAGATTTGTTCGAATTTTTCAGTAGGTAGGTAAATTGTGAACGATGTATTATTCCGCGTACCTATGTCGATGGGCTCACCTTCTATTACATGGGATAGGAAGATAATCGCAACATAGTATATAGTATGCCACGGCACATTAACCAACCTTTTTAGGGGGGAGGATTACCTCTATATGACTTCACCCTCGGGTGAGGCGAGAGGGAATATCAGACTCTTACAGACTAAAAACCACCCAGTTCCTGCTCTTGCACTTAGAATTGGAGCCCCGGCAACTATTTACGTTCTCCATCAACCAGTCTTAGGTGACTAAAAGACGTGACGTTATTCTTTCTAATATTCCTAAAAAAACACCAATGTCTATATTTCATGTTAAAGTATCGTCAAGATACTCAGTGATTACAAGTTCATTGCTAATCATTCTCTTACAGATCATTTTTAATTGTGGCAATTATGTTATTACAGGTTATCAATCATTTTATAATGGTTATCTCACATCACAGAGTTACATCGATTAGCAGAGGTGATGAATGAGTGTAAAGTCAGCTATTAGGTACAGGAAATAGATACACATAACATAACATCACGCCTTTTTATCTCCGAAGGGGTAGGCAGAGGTGCACATTACGGCACTTAACTCGTCGAGTACCGGTTTTGTAGACACAATTATAGAACAATAGGTCGCGGTCACCAGTGACCGCTTGGTGTTTGACAGTTTAATCCCACTGTTATATATAGATAATTAATAAAATAATTAGGAAATAGATAATTAATAAAATTATGCTTTGTACTGATCTGTTAGAGACTTTATCTGTGGTAGTAGGGTAAAAAGAGGCCCATGTATTGTTATGAAACACATGGACCTATTTTGTATAAGAATAACATTAATATTTACGTGTGTATAATGTGTGTTCGTACAAGAAAAAAACTTTATAATTTTAGTACGATATTTATAAATAAATGTAAATTATATTGCGGGGTGTATAGTGGTCCAACTGTTCTGTCCGACTAGTTGGACCACGGGTCTTTACAAGTAGCAGTTGTCCAACTTTATTTATGTACAATTTACTCGACTAGGGATATTATTTAAATTCGTAACTACGTTTGAATACTTAGAAGTAATTAGTAATTTATTATGATTATTTAATCCATCTAAAGGTTGTCTGGAAGAAATTGCTGCGTGTGTTAAAACCGCCCATTGTACTCAAATTTCTATTGCAATGTTAACATTTTTTTCTGTGTGTACAATAAAGAATAAATTAAATTAATAGATAAATATGTTATTTACCAATGTCAATTAAGTAATAGTGAATATAATAACAGTAAATAGTTCACAGAAATTGTTCAAATTGAAAATAAAACAGAAGAATAATAAAAATAACTGTATTTCAATTATTTTATTACTTAGGTATAAAAAGTACAAGGATTCATGTAACAATAGATAGGAAATCGTTTGGTTGACAGAAATAAACTATAAATACATACCTGATTGTATAGGCAAACTAATTACCTTTACATCAATAAACAATAGGTACTACAAATAGTTCTATAAATATTCTTAAAAAAAGTTTACTAAAATTCTGCATCTTTAGTACAAAGTTAATAGAAAAAAAAAATGAATATGTTCCAACACTCAAAAGTAAACCTAGTCTAAACTGTAGCAAGTATCAAATTTCAATATTACTGAAATATTTCAGAACGACATAAAAATAGGTACATTTGAATGCATTTAAAAATAGATCTACTCACAATAGTGTTAAGGTTTCTATCTGTAATTACATGGATACCAAGTAATTAAAGCCATTTGGTGTCTAGCGAGTAATAATCGTCCTGTCACCTATGATCACAGCTTGTTCAATGCACTTCGAAACACTCTGATATTTCACTGAGCACGACGAAGTTAACGTTTTCTGTAAAAAAATAAAATAAAAATTAATCTTAATTGTGAAGTACAAACAAACAAACAAAGAGTTTGAGAAAGTAATATTAGAATTAGGTAGATTCCAGGGTTAATAATTAATTTCGATAAATTAAAAACTTAATTAGTCCGTCAGTTAAATAATGAAAAAATATTAGACACATATTTTTTATTTTCTTAGACTTAGATAAAATGGCGCTATGTTTAGAAGTGGGAGGTCGTTACGTCATAACGTGCTACAGAATGTGGCACGCTGTGACGTCATACGATATTTCAAATTAATATATCGAAAGTGTTTAATTTTGTGATAATAGAAAAAATACATGTCTAAAGTTTTAAATTAATGTACCAGACATTAAATTACAATTTAGGAAACTACCCTATTGTGTGGTAAAATGTTCAAGTGCGTGTAGTTTAAATTTATACGACTCAAAATTATAAACTTTTCATATGTATTCACTTTTTTATACGCGTAATCTTTCTTTAGAGACTCTCTAGCTGTTTAATCTTTGCCCCATTTTTACGTGTTAAGATGGCCCTAAAACTTTACGACTAAGTTATAACCTAAAATTTCTTATCAGTTATCTTAAACTATAACTCATATGATAGAGAATTTAGGTAAACTTAATAACATGTATTTCCACCCATGAATTCAAACCCAAGATCCATCAGCAAGTCTCATGAACCTTATGAGTCGACGCATATAACCAGACTAACAAGACAACTAAATGACATCATTGCAAACTTGACAAATTACTTAATTGCAGGTTGTCTGAAGTTGTCTCGAAGTTTTTACTATCATTCACCATTATTTAATTTAAATGCATAATTACGTCAATAATATAGTCTCAAAGAGCAACGTTTTGAATGTCATTGCCAGCGTTAAGACAAATTAATTTATGAGTCTTTGACATTATGTTGCATGATTTTGTAATTATCTATGCGACTACGTTCACAGTTTACAGAATTGCATCAATAACTTTACTATAATTCTATTATTAATTCTATACAGGCATTGTATTGTAACCTACCTAGAATAGTTAAATAATAAGCTTTGATTAAGTACATATATGTGAACAAAATGGAAATAAATATATTTGTTTGTTTATTTGTTTGTTTGTTGTTTGTTTGTTTGTATAATATTATAGCAATATCTGAAGTTCAAGTAAGACAACTTACCCATAACCACCGCCGCCTGCAGTAGCAGTAGCAGTAGCAGTAGCGGTAGCGGTAGCGGTGGCAGTGCCACTACTGTAGCCTCCGTTGCCACCACATCCGCCTCCGCAACCACCGCCGCCATGACCGTAGTTAGGTTGGTAGCCGCCGCCATGACCACCGCCGCCGCCGTAGCCACCGCCTCCGCCGTAGCCACCACCTCCACCGTAGCCGCCACCTCCGCCGCCGCCACCGCCGTAGCCAAATCCACCGCCTCCGCCGTAACCACCGCCGCCGCCGTATCCGCCTCCGTAGCCACCTCCATTGCCACCGCCGTATCCACCATCGTAACCACCGTGGTGATGGTGACCGTAACCTGCACAAAAAAATAGTCTTTAGTAAAACAACTTAAGTACACACGCCAGCTCAAAAAAAACTGTCAAAGTTACTCAATAATATATTAGAAATAAATGAATAAAAAAATCTATTGAATATTGACAGATTGAGTAGGTATACCTTCTGGAGTCTGGTCATTGAATTGAAACTGTTTACAAAAAGGTGTAAGTGTGGTAGTGTAAGTAAAGTCAATCAATAAAATCTATGTACATATATCTAACTACAAACACGCATGCTACTTGTGTATGTTCATAAATACTACCAAGCATGTTAACATCGACAATCTACGAGTACTTAGTATGACACTAGTCGTCAACTTCTAGTTTGCTAATTTTAACTACTGATTATTTACTACGCAGGCACAAACATTATTAGAACACAAAACTACAAAGAAAGCGTTCAAAACAGGCATAATTAAAAAGTGTGTGTGCAGAAAGCTGTGCAGTGCATCCGTACCACGATCTTTAACCACTTTAACGACTACAATTTTTTCAGGTGGTTCTTCGTAGCCACCACCATGGCCCCCGCCAAAGCCACCGCCGTAGCCTCCGCCATAGCCTCCGCCATAGCCGCCGCCATAGCCACCGCCTCCGCCGTAGCCACCGCCTCCGCCGTAGCCACCACCGCCGCCGTAAGATTCATCGCCAAAGCCGATGCCTCCTCCTCCAATTGAAAATCCTCCACCGAACGCTAGTCCACCTCCTCCCAGACCTAATAATTTCTTCTTCAGTAGATGGCGCTTCTGTCTGTTCAGGTTTTCAGGTTTGTCCTGGTCTTCGAGTTTCTGTGAACAAATAAACATATCTAATATTAATCTTTTTTACGTTCGCATTATCATTATCATTACATTTGCATGTTGAGAAATGCTGACTGATATATGTATGATTGAATCGCAAAAGTGTGACATCGGTATGTCCTAGTAATGACTTTATGGGGCTTCTACATTAATGGGTTACCAGGAATATATTCCTGGTAATCTATTAAGTCAAATATTTTTCTCTCAATTCCTTACAAAACTCACTTATCAACCATTTTATAACATTAAAGTTAAGAAGGCGTTGTCACGATAGGTGCTAAGTTTTATTTACTAAATCAGTCAAAATATAAAGCCTATCGTTCCATGAAGTTTAAATATAAAGTTAACCAACTAGAGGAAAAACAGCGTAGGGCCGATTTTTCAATGATCAGTTAATTCTTAATTGTAGGATAAAATTGTAATTTGACAGTTTTTAATATGAAAAAATTGCCAAATATTCAAATTATTCCTCAGTTAAAATTTATCTGGCGTTGGAAAAAACAGCCCTTAGTGTATCTAATTCTTTAGTTAAGAAAGAGTTTCTGCATTGCATCTAATAGCACAGGTTAAGTTTTATTTTGTGGTTGATTTACCTAATAATAAAGTTGTTGTCAATTTACCTGAAACGTATTGTATCTAAGTACTATCAACTATGTTGCTTATGCAGAACACAAATGAACGAGACATCATAACAAACGTTTATCCTCTGAAATTAGTAGCAACATATGATTTAAGATCACGTTTTTATCCATGCTATCTGTTGCACAATTTAATAAAGACAAATAGGTATGTACCTCTAAACAATTGACTTTCATTTAACTAGTTAAAACGGATATTGTCGGAATCTTTTCTAATAAAATACTTTATGATAGTTATGATTTCCATTTATATCTATCTGTAAAGAAATGTACTTATTATATATTTTGTAATATTAAAATTAATAAATTCACTAACTGAATAAAACAAGAGTTCATTAATTACATCATAAAATATGCTCGCATGATTATAGTAAACAAATTATGCATCTGTATTATTAATTACTTTTCTTCGAAGAGTGTTGAGAAGTAAAAATGCTAATAAATTACACCATAAGATAAATATCGGTAAAAAGTAGCCGCAATTACCTTCACGTAAATTGGTTGCGGGTTGCCTTTTAAGGACTTGGCCTCGGGCTCCAGACGACCATACGATGGGTTCGCCTGAGCAAGTAGCACTAGTATAGGGAACTGCCTTGACCTCGTCGTGTCATGTGTCCTGGAGTCCCTAGGAGGGGCCAACACCGGAGACACGAGCAGCACTCGCTCCCCACCGTCCAAGGAATTGTCTCTGATTGACGGCTCGGCCGTCGCCAGCGCCGTCAGCGCCAACACGCTCACCACCACACTACAGTATCCCATCGCGATCACTGACGCAGGACCAACAAAGCAAACCTATTTATAAGACGCGTTTTTCCTGCGACCGCTCCGACGTCATGGACCGCCTACTGCCGACACTAGTTCGCGGGATCAGTTCGCAGAACGCGCCATTCCCACGATGTCGTTGACAATCCGATCAGTCGGATTGTTTTCAATATGACGTGCTAAATTAATGTTCACGCCATGGCAGATATAATTTGACACATAGAAAATATAAAGATGATGTGCAAGTACGTGTGGTTGAACGAGAAAAACGTGATGTTACACGCCTGCCAATTTGCTGAGTCCATGCACGTATAAAGCTGGTTATTCCCATAAACCGGATGCTCGTCTGTGTGTGTTCGGATACATACTTAATAACAGCGAACTGGTTCTTTATGGTTTTTGTGGTGGTAATCTGCCAAGATAGGTCTGTTGTTAAATACGAAGACTTTGATTAAAACGTTACAAACAAGTCCACGTCTTCAGTTGGATGGTTATTAAATTGAATAACAGAATTAATGGACTGACGTAAGCTAAACTTGTCTTGTACAATATTTAAATAAAATAGATCCACAAGACATCTCATAAGGAAAAATAAGGCAGAAGACCAATCATAAATAAAGACAAATGTATTCACAATCTGAATTCTGAAAGAGGAATTAGAGTTAAACCAAAATGGTTGACATATTGTGTTGCATAATACAGTATCAGTCTATCAGTTGCATTATACTAATATCAGTTAACATTCTGTGTAGTGTATTATGCCCAGTAAACCAACTGTTTGCTATTGTGAAGATGTGAATAGCTTTTCTATCTCTCTTAAAATTTATATGATCTCTGTAGCGTAATTAGATATTCATAAATCTTGCTAATAGTTTTAAAGTCTTAATCAAACCACATAGAATAAAATTTGAAATCCATCCATTAAGGCCTAGTAAAATTGAAGCAAGTTTTTTGCACCGTACAACAAGCAAAGAGTCTATTTGCTGTGCTATTTCTAGTCTCTATACAGAATAAATTCTAATAGGCGAAGGCGCAGACAGGACAGTAATAAACCCCTTAAGAAAAACTAGATGGAATGACGTACAATTAAACTCATGACGTGCCTCTCTTTACAGTATAAAAGTAATCAGAACATAATTGGAAGATCGTGAACCATGAACAAAAATACGAAGACGCAAAAATCAGGAAAACAATAGAACCTTTTTTTTAATCACACTTTCTTGGTATCAGGTATCAAGAACAAATGATAGCCACCAATTACTATTCCTCTTTAATCACTATTAACTCGTCTCTATAGGACCAGTGACCCGGAAGTCATTGGAAAATATCATTAACTCGCATATAATTAAGGTTCATTTTTTAAGCTACATCATCGCATCTCATAATTATGCCTTCAGATGTTCAATTTCTGAGGAAAAGGTAAATTACCTGACCTTTGGGGGTTATGTGATTGATAAAGAAACCAGTTGTTCTATTAATAAAGTTTTATTTTCAATAACAAGTTTTGTGTCTTGTGACATTTGGGCTGTTATATTCTTGGGATGTATGGGTTGCTTACTACTGGAGTCATGTAGTTGTTATCTGTAACAGAAACAAGAATTAATCGCATCTGGTACTTATATCATAGATTTGTTCATGTGGAACTGAAAAGTCCCGAGTAATGTTATAATTTTTTTTAATGTATAATACATTAGTGCGTTTCAACTGAAATATTAGGTGTGTATACAGGATGACTTGTAATTCGACCTATTCCTCTCGGGAGGTGATAATACAACTAATTTCCTACAAAATTATGCGTTTTTTTAAAGGGAGGAAATCATCGAATGACTGCTCCCGCCCCTGGGTGAGGCGGGAGGGAGTGTCAGACTCTTACTGACTAAAAACCACCCCGTTCCTTCTCCTGCACGTCGAGTTGGAGCCCTGGTAACCCGTTAGCTTACACATAACATAACATCACGCTTTATTATCCCCGAAGGGGTAGGCAGAGGTACACATTTTGGCACTTATGCCACTGTACAATCACCCACTTTTTACTATTTATGTTACGAGTCCCATGTAGGGAGTAAGCCTATTGCCATATACAGGGCACATTTCCAGACTTTGTGCTACTACTGAGATTTTTAAAAACCCAGTAATACTTTGCTTGACCCGGGAATCAAATCTGAGACCCTTTGCCCGACAGTCGTACTAGGGACCACTTGGCCAACGAGGTATCTAAACTATTACATATAAAATACATAAAAAATAATATTTAATTCTGTCTGCGGTAGATACTCAGCTGCCGTTATCACTAAGAAGTTAAAATTAATAAATTATGTAAAAACAACTTGAAATTAAAATAATCCCCGTGTTTTAAATGATTAAAATCAAAACAGTACGATGAGCGGTTCGGTTTTTCCGTCCGTAATGTGTTTATTAATGTCGTATCTTTATTTTTATGTTTCTTTGATATTAGGCTTTGATTGTAACTATTTTATAATGCGGCTTTGCTTGCCGTTAACGATAATTTAGTTAGTCAATTTAGGTAAATAGAAAAAAAGAAGTCGTATAGTATAATTATGATGATTCGTTTCATAGGATGTATCTTGAATGTTCATATCGTTCTCCTTTTTAAATTTAGAAAATGTAGTCTATGCTACTAAAGTAAGATGCAAGTGATAAAGTCAGTTTTGCAAAATTATTCATAAAAACTCGTTTTAACATTATTACGTTAGGATTTCATTTTCAATGCTAAGGACAAACCAGAATTTAATCTATAATAATATATTTTATTATTTCTCTAAGATAAAACTTAATGGCTACGTGACAATATTAAGTTTTAATAGGCCTAATGATTTTTATGAGGTAACATTTTTGTACCGTGTACCAAAATCATTTTGTTTTAGAAAAAAACATTGCCCCACACTAGGATTTTCTCCTGTGTCGTTCGTGCGTTTACAAACATACAATTTCACATACACATGACACCCAGACCCGGAACAACAATCTGTGGATCACACAAACTTCACTTGTCTCGACAAGTGACTATCGAATAGAGTATACTTGCATACTCTGGATAGGTCTTTTTTCTTTTTTTATGGTATAAGCCGGTAAACGAGCAGACGGATCACCTAATGGTAAGCAATCGGCGTAGCCCATGGACACCCGGGACACCAGAGGTGTTACAAGTGCGTTACCGGCCTTTTGGGGATTAGGAGTTTGAGGATCGTTGGGGATTTAGGGATTGGGGAGATTGGGGAAGGGGAGGGTAATTGGGCCTCTGGTAACCTCACTCACACGACGAAACACAACGCAAGCGTTGCTTCACGTCGGTTTTCTATGAGGCCGTGGCTTCACTCTGGTCGAGCCGGCCCATTCGTGCCGAAGCATGGCTCTCCCACACTTAAAGTCTTAGTCAATAAAAGCTTTACGCAATAAAATTATTATGCTGTATGCAATAAGTCCCTACATTGTTTTTCTTATGTCAGACGCAAGCGCAGTAACGAACAATCAACCCAATCTGTATATAGAGGATCTTTACCTTATTATGCATTTTAACATCAAAAACTTTTAGGTATAGGAAAACTTGATTTAGGTACGTATTATGTTACCATAACATTTTATTAATGAGAAGCAAATCTTTTGTATGGGAAATCCGACCACGAACGTAAAAAACTTCTTCTATAGAGTATTATTCTACGTAACTCATATAAAAACATGATCTTGTTAATGGTACTTATATTGCGTACTATATATTTTTTCAATTAGAGTAAATTATATAGCGTATGTACACGCGGCTACACATCGAGCTTTACATAACCAGTATAAACTGAACGTTAAATGTGCGGAAAGATGATGCGACGCGACACCAGGATAAACTGGCTTTGTATAGATTGATGTGTGGCTGTGTGTAAGTACCTATTATATCATTACTTGTTGTGAAATAAACTTCCCCGCCGTATCTGTCTGTCGTTTTTCAAATACTACTGAACGGATTTTAATGTGGCTTTCTTCAGAGGATAGACTGATTCAGACAAATTTATATAGGTCTATGTAAAAGGCGGTGAGTGTAAGTTACTTCATATTATATCGTTCAAAGTAGTCAAAGTTTTGCTGTACTTTATAAGTATTTTAAAATGGATTCGAAAGCGTCTCACCCTATTAGTCTTCCGCTAAATCTGAGAAAATCTTTTTTTTCTTCTTTTTGGTTTTCTTACAGCTACTGCTATCTGTAGCAAATAAAATATTCGTTCAAATAATTGAATTGAAAAATATTGGACATTTTATATAAACTACTTTTTATAAGGCGTAATATCAGTCTACTGGGGAAAAATGAAATGTCATGTCATCGATATAGTTACGATATATTTATTGCATAAAGATGTGGCTGGACGAGGCATGCTTCTCTTCACAGAAGGGTTTGCCATAATCTACACGGTTGACAGTATAAAACGTTCATATTTATTAAGAGCGCTACTGTCTTGTCTCTGTTAAATGTTTAGGTCGGCTCTTAAAAAGCCACGGGAAGAAGAAGCCATATAATAAAAATGACAATTTCGTGAATAGTAATGTGGATAAAGTACTACAACACTTAAGGGGCTTTAAGTAGAATACCAGTGCAAGGCTCTATCTTGCACATTCTGAACTGTTCCCATTTCGCGGCGGACTTGGGATATGAACATGTATTCATCAGTATCTACTAATAGAATTACAAAACTGTACACGTCACTTGCTTTCTAGCGTGAATTAAAAAAAATCTTCTTTGTTCTTCAACATAATGTTCAATTATGAAATTTACCTGGGACACTGACCACTACGGTAGGGGCTCTGTTTACGCCATAACCAGCCATTTGGGTTCCGTAAGGGACGCTCTGTGTTCCATAAGATGATCCTCTATACGCGGTGTTAGGAACTGAAAAAAGAAATAATAATATAAATCTATGCATTTATCGATTGCCTTGTTCAAATAGTAAACACGGCATCCGAGCAAAGAATCGGTTGAAATATTCTAATATAAATAATATAATATAGTATTTTTTAAATCCTAACTCACACATACGTGTTTGTCAATAGGCTCAAGTCTATTATTATTTCAGGGACTTGAAACATGACAGCTTTGAAAAAAATATAGAGGCATAATTCCGATCATATGGACAAAGGCTCGTTTCCTCTTTCGGAGTATATTTTATGGAGTTATTCAAACTGCCAATTCTTAATAGCTAATTATAAACAGAAGCCTGATTAAGTGTCCAAAAAATATGTGTCGTAGGTAGTAAAAAATATTTGGTTGCCGACGTAATACGAATATTTTTAACGGTTTTTAAGGTAGCTAATGCCAAATTACTGCCTTCAAAACCTGATTACTAATTTATATATTATAATTATGTGTTTGTGGAAAATTTGGACATAAATTGTTTTTTTATGTCTAACTGTCTCAGCGAACTTTGTACTGGCTCAGAATAAAATATCAATTATGGTTCATAATTGTCATGTCATGATCATTTGCAAATTGTGAAATATAGCCTTACGTCTTCAGTCTCCTGAATTAATAATACCGGTATGACTAGACATAAAAAATAATATCATAAATTCACTCTTTTAGGACGTGCAAGTAGGTAAAATAGTCGCGGAGAACCTAACGGGTTACCGGGGCTCCGGCTCGACGTGCAGGAGAAGGAACGGGGTGGTTTTTAGTCAATAAGAGTCTGAGACTCCCTCCCGCCTCACTCAGGCGGGAGCAGACATTCGATGATTTTCTCCCCTTAAAAAAAGTAGATAAAACAAATAAACACGTTTTCGCATTTATAAGTGACATTTCTTCAGCAAAATAATGAAGGTATCATTAAAACGTCCGGAATAATATATTGATGTTATACATATATAGTACATTACTAATTTTATTGGAATAACCATCAGGTAGAAAAAAAACATTTTCGACCATATTATTAAGCATTTAAGTACATAATTTTATTTATTTTATACAAATTACACAGACGACCATGACTGCAGGTTTGTAGCCAAAAACGGCTGTCGATGGTCGAAGATATCAATCAATGTAAATGTCGCTATAAGTTCAGTTAATTTTCTTTTGTTTTATAATACGGTAGTCGATTTAATTCCAAAAACTCGAGTCTTACAATGGGTCAATATAAATTTATATTTCGTATGCCTCTGAAATCCTGTTTCTGAAGAGCAAGTAGATGGTATTTCCTATAGGTAAAATACTGACATATAGGCAACTGAATTAAGTAGGGTATTAAGTCGATTGAACTTAAACGGAAAAGAAATCATTTGAGAAATTAAAAGTATATTTTCAAATGACGTCACATCTAAAGTTATCGGAGAGAGGACAGGTAGATTTCAATCTACGTCAACTTTCGTTTCATAACTTATTAATAAGTCTTATTGTGTATGTGGTGATATTATAATCAAATAGGTACTCTTTGGTGACAAAACAATTTTTAAATTAACTTTAGTAATTTTTGGTGGTCAAAATTTTCGACCAAAGAGGGTAATGAAATATAACATAACATCACGCCTTTTATCTCCGAAGAGGTAGGCAGAGGCTTAACGCCGCTGTAGAATGTAACACCCACTTATCACTATTTAGGTAATAACATAAATAATTTACTCACCTCCTATTACATTACATTACATTACATGTAATAGGAGGTGAGTAAAGAAATATGTAACCACATAATATTTTGGTTTATTTAGTACTAGCTTTTACCCGCGGCTTCGCTCGCGTCACAAAAGGATAAAAAGTAGCCTATGTGACATATACCAATACACACAGCGCCATATATACCAATAATTTCGTTTTCCCTCGATAATATACATTTTTTCCGGGATAAAAAGTACCCTATTATTTAATCCAGACTTCTAACTTTACGTCTGCAAAATTTTAAAGCAATCGGTTTAGTAGTTACGACGTGAAAGTGAACAAACAAACAAACAAACTCACTTTCCCATTTATAATATTAGTAAGGATAAGGATATAGTAAGGATTAACTATTAACTAATCTATGATCTTTCCTTACCCCCAGGCACGACCACCACACTTGGTTGAGCCACCGCCTGCGCATAGTTTTTGTGACCTGTGAATATTACACCAAGTTCTAATTACCTAGAAAAAACAAACGACTTAAAACATTCAAATTTGTGATTACTAGCGTTTTTTTTTAAGTTTTTGACTTCAGATAAGGGGATTTTGTATGTTAATTAATAGATATGTAATTTAAAGTCTGGTTCTAAGTAAATTAGTTTGTGCGGATTTCACGCTAAGATGGCTAGATAGAGGAGTCATTAAAGTTGTTCTGAAGTATTTCCATATACATACAAAATGCACATATCTTCCATCTCAAGTGTGGGAGAGCCATGTTTCGGCACGAATTGGCCAGCTCGACTGGAGTGATGCCACGGTCCCACAGAAAACCGTCGTCGTCGTGTGAGTGAGGTTACCAGAAGCCCATTACCTCTCCCAGTCTCCCCAATCCCCAAATCCCCATAATCCTCAAATTCCCAATTCCCAAAAGGCCGGTATCGCACTTGTAACGCCCCTGGCGTTTTGGGTGTCCATGGGCGACGCCGATACAAAATATTAAAAAAGACTTATCCCATATAAAATGTATTAATGATATCTATTGATATCTGGATACGGTTAATTTTGATGCTCAGAGTGAGATATGACTTTTGTATAAATTAATAAAACGTTTAAACTGATTCAAACGTGAAAAATTTCTGAATAAAAACAAACACATTTACGTATTACGTATCTATGTATGTGGATTGGATATAATTATAACATGCACATTATAAAAATAAAAAATACAAACCTAGCAGTGGGCTCTGCCGTCTAAACCGGCTTGCAGAATGTCTGGCTGCATTCTATAAAAAAGAAAACAGGTAACAATATTGCACAACATTGAATAGTATAAAATATTATAATGTACCTCTATAAAAATATATTACCTGTTCATCTACCAGACCAGAATTTTGTTGCCAATTGTTTCTTAAACAATTTATACTTAAAACCATTAGTGACAAAGTAAGAGCGTAAATATAAAATTGAGACGCCATCTTGAAAAAATGTCTTGTGTTATCTGTATTTTTTGCAATATGGCGCGAAATGCAACTGTCACCTGTTTTTATAATGTCAACAACAGATGGTATCGCAGATTTTAATAAGTCGGTTTTCCTAATCACGTATATTAACAATTAAACTCATTCTTATGGGTGTTACGTCATATTTAAACAACCGTAGTCATACAATGTAATGGAATTTTCTGCATCTTTGTGGATGGAAATAAAAACACAATTTTAAATAACAACTGTATATTTAATCATCGTTTTAATCTAATAATATCTATAGGTAGTCTAAAATACTTTTTGTAAACATGTCCTAAATGTCGACATGACTCAACTGCAGAAATATCAAAGAATTAGGGAAAAAAACGATTTTAAATTAATTCGAGTAGGTTTCTCGAATCTCGTTTGATCGCGGAAGTATATAAAACATGGTAATAGAAAAGTAGTTTTTCCTAAAAATGGAGTGCATTTTGGCGTAAATGAGAACTATTTAATACTACTTATTATAATATTTTTTTATGGCAAAGGCCGGTAAACGAGCAGACGGATCACCTGATGGTAAGCAATCGGTGTCGCCTATGGACACCTGGAATACCAGAGGCGTTACAAGTGTGTTACCGGCCTTTTGGGGATTAGGAGTTTGAGGATCGTTGGGGATTCAGGAACTGGGGAGATTGGGGAAGGGGAGGGTAATTGGGCCTCCGGTAACCTCACTCACACGACGAAACACAACGCAAGCATTGCTTTACGTCGGTTTTCTGTGAGCTTTAATTACAGTATTTTTCTATTTGCAATACAAACACGAATAATTTAATCACTCAATACAATAAATAGAATAAAAATTAAAAGGTGCCTAAAACTGGATAGCAATAAGCGTTGCTACGCACTTGATATTTTTTTGTTGTTCTCAGTGTTAGCAACCACACACAATCTTCAAATCAATTGTGGTGCTAGGTAAACTTGTTTTAGTTGAAAATAACAAGATTTATTTCATTAATAAATAATTCTTCATCACTTGTAATAAAGCGCTTATTTCCTCGTAATTTATTTATGAGGGTTTTACTCAAAATATGAGATGTGTTCCGGCAACAATTGCTCATCTATAGTTTTTTGTTGACTATTAATATCTTTGCACGAAGTAGATCTTGCTTATTTTTCTACGGCGTCTCCGGAGTTGTTTTTGGTCTTCTAATTTCTGGAAATAAACAAATTAAATCATTACAATTATAGTAATAAGGTTGCTTTTTTAACTGATTGGTTCTGTCAAGTCTTACGTTAGTCGCTACGTCGTCGTTTATAATACGAATTATCTTAATCGAAAATAAACCTTACGTTACTAAACTTAAAACTTACTTTTACATAAACAGGCTGTTGTACAATATCCTTCATTTTGTCTTCACGTACACTTTTGTCTCCATCGCCAGCCAACAACATTAGCACAGGAAAGTCTTTAGCTGTCTCATTAGTTTCTGCTCTTGCGTTTCTATAAGGAGCTAAAACGGGCGATACTAACACAACTCTCCCATCTTTGTTCAAATCACTTTTAACACATACAAAAGTAAATAATATCAAAAACTTTAGTACTAAACGATTATATCTCATCGTGTTTGAATATAAATGAGTACATGGTGTTCCAAGGAAGCTTTATATACCTACGAACCTTCTTCATTAACATCACGACTTGCAAAATGATGGACATCACACTTGAATATATTCTTGTTTAGTCACGGAAAGATAAATGTATTGCAACTTGTTAACAACTAAGTTATATTATGTTTGAGTGATTTATTGCTGCAGTAGGATAATGTAAAAACTTTTAGGAACTTTTGATTGCTTTGGTATTATAAACGTATTCATTTTATTACAATGAAATATCCAAATTACTAGTCGATGTTATCTTAAAGGTGTTTGATCTTCCTTTTGTTGTAGAAGGATAAATATTGTTTTAAGATTGCTTTAATGCTGCTATTCATCTTTTTTTTTTAAGTAATTCAGAACAGTTTGAGGAGGTATTAGAATACCAATTGTTTCTGAAAGTCGTTGAATGATTTCAAATCAATATAAATGAATAAACAAATAGTACTAATTGAAATAAATCAAAGTAGAAGATAGTAAGATTCGATTTATATTTCGACCACAAAACCAAAGTCAATTATTATAGTTTTCGGCTTACTGGAGGCATGGTTTCAAACTAGTCGAGTTCCTCGTCAAATAATTACGTGACTAAGCAGAAAACCGTAATAATTAATTCAGTATGTCTCACGAAAGTTATAATATAAGAATCAAAGTCACTTAATTCATAGGACTACAAAGAACAATCTTAGCTAAAGGAGCTGAATAAATAGGTAAATAGTCAATCTAAGATCTTTATAGTAACATACTCACTCGTTGTAATTTAAACAATGCACATATTCAATGAGCTCATCCACATCATATCAAACACAAATCGAAACAAATAAACATAGCCTTTATTGCTACGGAATAAAGACTAAGTTAAACGTCACTTACAAGCAGACCTGCCTGCTAAAGTACTACTATAAGTATGTAATTGTGAAGATAAATAATAAAGTGCATATAAGATACTTCCCGAGTAAGTAAATTGTATGGTGAGTTCTAAATGTCTTTAAAAGGAGGTTTATGTTGGTAATTATGTTGTCTGTCTGTTATTCTTGAACTCTTTTAGAATAAACACTTTTATAATGTATGATGGGTACTTTAACATTGACAATGATAGGGTCATGAACCTTAGTCGCAAGAGATGCCTGCCGGGCCGGGTGTAGTGATTCCGTAAGGGCACCCCGGGTCACGGTCACAGACTGTGGAAGAACATCCCCAAGACGTGGGAAGGCCATTTCCATCATTTGACGTTTTGTATTAACATGTAATCTACCATAAAGAGACACAATAAAAAGAGAATTATATCTTATTTAGATCTCCAACAGATAAGGGGTTAATCTCGCTCAATCATTGCAGATGCCACTCAAACTCATACAGAAGCTCCAGAGCTAGGATTCATCCAGACCCACAGACCAATAGACCTGGGTGTCTTCAAGGCTCGAGTGAATAGGTTGCTGGGACGACGTCCATCGACCATCGTAGACCGCATCATCGCTTACCACCAGGCGAGATAGTAGTCAAACGTCGCCCATCAAATGTATAAAAAGTAAAAATAAACCTTATTTATATAAACGTACGTTACACCAATAATAGTACTCACAATCTTTTATTAAAGTATCATGAGAATGATTCATTTATTTAATAACTCGACCTTTTATATCGAACGTGACTCTTTTAAGGAATAAAACTGCTATAAATACTCAATACATTTTATTTCGTTTGATATGATCCATCTCAGATTAACTTAACTCATCCGCCAGTCGTGATGTTCATCGCTTTTTTGTTCAGACTCGCCTTTTTTGTCCCTGCAATGATATCAAGATGTTAGTACAAAAAAAAATTATATTGAAAATACATAGGTAAGTAATGGTTCATGGACACAGCCTTGGCCTCACTTCTCGTAAAGTCATTGGCTGTGGTTATCTTCCTAATAGTACCTTCTAGTAGATGTTAGAAGCAGAGCAGGGCTGTTCTTTCATAAAAAAGCGTGACTGTCAAACTGTCAAGTAAGGGAGCTCGGTTTCCGGGTCGACGATAGTCAGTTAGATACTATTAACACTATGATTATATTACTACAACTTATTACTATTAATGTAGTACTTATTATTATTATTAACTTAGTATATCTCTCGAAAGTTACAATATAAACAGTAGATACTATTGGTATTTTCAGTTTTTCTAAAAGAAACAAGACTCAAAGTGCGTGTTACATTTTATTACATATATGTAGGTATTATGCAGCTCTTTTTAAGGGAGGAAAATCATCGAATGACTGCTCCCGCCTGGGTGAGGCGGGAGGGAGTGTCAGACTCTTACTGAATTAAAACCACCCCGTTCCTACTCCTGCACGTCGAGCCGGAGCCCCGGTAACCCGTTAGGTTCTCCGCGACATCTGCTTCTACTTACTATGCAGTATATTTTGAATAGAACATGACATCTGTTATTTCTACAGAAATAAAATATTTATTTTTTATATTTGATGGGCCGGCGTTTGACCACTATCTCGCCTGGTGCTATACAATGATGCGGCGATATGTCATGCGACGATATCAATATGTTACGAGGTGGAGAGATTTTATTTTTTACTTTTATTTTCATCCATAATCGTCCCTCCTTCCACTCCTCTCTATGTAAAGCGTTTTGTGGCCAATTCTTGTCATAGATGTCTAATTCGTCCCGCCATCTCGAGGACACGGTGGAACACACGGTGGGAGAATGCCCTTCGTGGGCTGAGCACCGCCGTGTCCTCAGGGAAGTGATCGGCGATGGCGACCTCTCGCGTCCGGGCCTAGTGCAGGCCATGATGCGGAGCGAGGGGGATTGGGATGCCGTCTCCTCCTTTTGCGAAGCAGTCATGCTAGCTAAGGAGGAGGCGGGACGCGTGAGGCAGCGAAGCGCTGCCTCCTCGCAACCCAGCCATCGCGAAGGACACACCGGGCGTCGGGGATCGCGGGACGATCTCCGGCCACCGTAAGCGCGGGCCTGCGGACGGCGAGCATGGGTGGCTCCCCGTCCGACCAGAAACAGACCCGAGCGTACGGCGCGTCGCGTTCTGCGCGCGCCTCAAAGAGCCATCAGACCACCACAGATGGGGCCCAATAGGGCCGATGCCGATTCGGAGTCGCGGAGAACCTAACGGGTAACCGGGGCTCCGGCTCGACGTGCAGGAGAAGGAACGGGGTGGTTTTTAGTCAGTAAGAGTCTGACACTCCCTTCCGCTTCACCCAGGCGGGAGCAGTCATTCGATGAATTTCCCCCTTAAAAAAAAAAAAAAAAAAAAGGCCTGCCGCGACGTACGACGACTACTTAATTAAAAAAAAAAAAAAATTATTGTTGTGTCATATACCTACATGTCATGTAACTAAAAAAAAAAATTTATTTTATGTAAGTCTATACTATTCTTTTCTATGTTCCTCTTGATTATATAGATCTTGAATACGCTTGCTTCTTGCATCGACCATTGTTTTTGTCTCTCCATCACCCAAAGGTCTGGGTGGAGGAAAATGCCCATGGCATTAAGCCCACCTTGTACAATAGCCCACCATGTACAATGAAGCCTTTTAAAATAAAATAAAAAGGCGTGATGTTATTTATCTTATGCCGACCGTAAAGTCTAGATTAATAAGTCCTTATAAATGCATTTAATTTAATAAAAGCAACGTGTTTTTAATTATACATCGAGTTCGTTAGTGCTGCTATCTGGTGTTTGCTATTATTTCACGCTCTTTACTGTGATCGAGGTTATTTAACATTATATTTCCGAATTCAATTTGTTATTGTTTATTGTTTTACCTCTACAAGTACAAGGTCATTCGAACGACACGAATATGATAATGAGAATGTTAAGTTTTTACGCACTTATGTCCTAATTTTGGACTTGAAATGTTATAGAGGTCAAAAGAGTACTATGTTATGTAGCTTCTAGATGAAGAGTTCTAGGCTTTTCCTGTTAACAAACCTGTTTGGTGACTATGCCGTGTGTTTCAAAGTTTTATTCTGCTTTAAGTACAAATAAACAACTTTTTTTGTGAACATGATCCGGTTGCTTTACGAGCGTCTGTTGTTATTTGAATGGTTGAGTAGACAGACGTGCTGTCTGTTGCCATACTTATGTATATCGTAGGCTAACTAACTTTTAATATCACTAATTGAACATCAAGTAAAATTTCATAGTCCTTGTACAAAGTACAGTAGATCAAGTTCCTTTCATCTCCTTTCTTTCCTGAAGGGTGTCTTCAAGGCCCGAGTGAATAGGTTGCCTATGGTATGACGTGCTCTAGGGTATATAACCTGGGTGTCTTCAATGCCCGAGTGAATAGGTTGCCTATGTGATGATTTGCAGGTACTAAGTTTAAGTTGTCTGTGCTGTAAAGCTTCAAGTAGTTATCGGTAAAATGGCGTGAAGAGATACAGAAGACGGTTAAATAAATGTTGGGATAATGTTCTAACATGTCTTCACCCCATCCCAGTATCTATTCACCCTATACAGCAAGAACACGTTACACTTATAAACCTCACTATGAGCGTCTGAGACTTAAAATCCACTAAAACATATATATTTAAAATACAACCCTGTTTTTGTTTTAAATTAGTAAAAATGAATTGTTACTCACGTTTAATTCCAAGTACTTCGATTCTCCAGTCAAGGCCTCATCTTCAGGTACGAAGTAGACTCCATCAGGTAAGATGCCGACATTAGTATTCACTTTAGTCAGTTGCACTTTTCCCTTCGGAGTATAACCACGTAACAAATCAACTAGTTCCACATCAGAAAGCTGATATGTCGAAGATTCTTTTGCAGTATTATATTGAGTGAAAACACTCAAAGTGAACAAAGTTATGATTGTAAACCACTGCATCGCTGGTAGGTTGTGCCTCAAGGATAATATGAACGCTAATGTTTTTTTAATATTTCGACTTGTCGTATTTATAGGGCTGCCTTTATGCCATTTAGCTTAGTTATAGTGATTATTAGTTATAGTGATTAAGTTATGTAGATATTTAGTATAGATATTACATTCTGGTCAAATACTCAAACGCTACTAAATTTTTTACTTGAAATGTTTCTTCTATTGTCTTTCTCGTGATGGCCCGGGGGTTAAGATACCTGTTTCTCATGCATGAGGGTGCGGGTTCGAAATCTACCAACGGCAAGAACCAATGTGACTTTTTCCGTGTTATATGTACTTTCTAAGATAGTTTAGTCACCACTGACAAATTGTAAAGGAAAAAATCGTGAGGAAACCTGGACTTATAATTTGTATATATAAGTTTGTAACCAACCTGCATTAAACAGATTTCTTCAATTTATCACAATCAGTCCGTGGACTGACCGATTCTCTATTAGACAATAGGTCTTCTCTACATAGGAATAGTTTCTATCAAATGTGGAGTCTCCTTTGGCTCTGACGACACCCGCGGGAAGAGAAACTAAAAACGGATACATCTATCTACATATATTATATTGCTAGATCGAACGAGGAGTTTGATAAGAAAATTTTAATTTGAGATACTTTAAACAACTGCCTCGTTGGCCGAGTAGTTGCAAGTGCGACTGTCAGGCAAGGAGTCTCAGCAGCTTTAGCCAAATGCCATTTAGCGCTTGTCTACATGTAGAATAGAAAGCCAAATTATATGGAATTGACGTAAATTTTGACACTTGTCAGTGTCATACCCATACATTTTGATTTCTACTCTCTCTGTAGACAAGCGCTAAAGTGGCGTTTGGCTAAAGGCACAGGTTCGATAAAAAATGGTTTAAAAAAATCAGTAGAAGCACGGAGACTGGAATTGTGCCCGATCCCGATATATGGCAATAGGCTTACCCCCTATTACATAGGACTCATAACATAAAAGTAGGTGTTACATTGTACAGTGGCACTAAGTACCTATGTGTCAAACTTACTGTGCATCTCTGCTTACCCCTTTGAAGATAAACGTGATCTTAAAATACTTTAAAGAAATGCCCCATTTTTGTCTACGTTTGCAGATTAATTTACCAATGTTTTTTTTTTTTAATTTCGAGTTACACAAAAAATATTAATGTGGATTATATGGCGTTTCAGTATACGGACTTAAATTTTGATTAATGGATACCATTACGTAATAATACAATTAAGTTATTGCCCATTACAACCATGGGAATCGATGACTTACCTACTTTGAGTTTTAACAATGTGATTAAGGATTACATCACAATTACGTGTTTTTATTATTTTGTAAACAGTCGGGAACATTGTTTTTAAAAAGATGGCAGTACATACTTTAAGTACAATTTATTGATTACGAACAATCTCGAATATTTTTGGGGCATCTATAAAAGTGCTTAGACTACATAACATTTCCGACTCTCAGTACGTCTTTCTATATAATTGCTCCATAGAATTTTTAGGTATCTCTTCCTAAGGTTCAACTCTCCTCCGTTCTGTATCCCCAAATCACCAATTTCCCAATCCCTAAAAGGCAACGAACTTATGTAGCGAGCACTCATGAGCAGCATCTATTGCTTACCATCAGGTGATACATCTGCTTGTTTTGTATTTGATTAAAAAAAAAAACGTCGCCTCACGCTAGTATTTTCACCTGCGTCGTGATTGCGTTTACAAACATACAAGTTCACATACACATGACACCCAGACCCGTAACAATAATCTGTGGGTCACACAAAGAGTTGTTCCGTTCGAGAATCGAACCCGCGACACGTTGTGTAGCAGCCAGTTGCCCAAGTATCGCGCGAACCGTGTAGTCGGCAGTATTTATCGGCCTATGCCATAAAACAGGACTCAGTAATACACTCCTCAAAAAAGGTTTGACATAGGACTGTGCCAACCATCAGCATGAACGAAAGAGTTTTAATGACTAACTTACACAGAAATCATCACATGCATATAAAGTAAGATGTCATTGTCATCACAAACAAGACTAAAATCTTCAAGATTACTCATGTAACAACTCTTCAATGAACAATCACTATTAAACTAACCACCATTACAATATGAGTCCACACATCAAAGATTACACAAAAAGTGTAAGGTCTTGTTAAGTTGGTAGGTATAATTAGATGAAATATCGTTTATGGGAAATAAAACGGCAATAACTTGATACGTTTATTATGTTGAACATATAACTTGGCGGTTTTGCTGGTCACCGGGGAATTCTCCATGATCAAGATGCGAGACAAAAGAGCAGCTACGTGTTCATTCTGCCTTTGTTGTTACTGTTTCATAGGGCTGTCACTCAGTATTATTTTTATTAATCATCGTCAACAGCTTATAAGTGCCCACTACTGAGCAAAGCCTCTTCTCACACGGAGAAGGTTTGAGCATTAATCACCACGTTTGCTCAATGCGGGTTGGCGATTTCAAATTTACAATTAGAAATTATAAGTCCAGGTTTCCTCACGATGTTTTTCCTTCACCGTTTGTCTTTGGTGTCTGAATAATCTTAGAAAGTATATATAACTCGGAAAAACGCACGGTTGGTGCGGTGGCTGGGCAACCGGCTGCCGTGCAACGTGTCGCGGGTTCGATTCCCGCACGGGACAACACTTTGTGTGATCCACAAATTGTTGTTTCGGGTCTGGGTGTCATTGTGTATGTGAACTTGTATGTTTGTAAACGCACCCACGACACAGGAGAAAATCCTAGTGTGGGGCAACGTTTTTTTGTGCAACGTGTCGCGGGTTCAATTCCCGCACGAAACAACACTTTGTGTGATCCACAAATTAAAAAAAATGTATAAAAAAAAAAAAAAAAAAAAAAAAAAAAAAAAAAAAAAAGGAAAAAAAAAAAAAAAAAAAAAGAAACAAAAAAAAAAAAAAAAAACTTATAAAATATGGGTGTAGGTACTACCTAAAATTCCAGCTACTACTTTTTGCGGTATTCTAGTTTCAGTAAATTCTAACAATATTTTGTCTCGATCAGTGGATCAAGTCCTTCTGGAGAGTTCTCTATTGCTTTACAGTTATGTTGAAAGCATTTTGAGAGGTGATAGTTATAATAATTAGTCATATAAATATAAATATATTTGATTTGATAATTGAAATGTTTGAAAATGCTACAATTTAATCATAATTTAAATTTCGAAATAAACGTGACTTTCAGTTATACCTAACTAATTAGTATAATTACCGTGATATGAAGAAATCATTGTTGCAATTTAATTTATAATTCATTTGATAAGCATTGTTATCAGTTACCTAATTAGGTAAACCTATTAAAATCATTATTGATTTCATATGCTTTCTTCATCGGATATACATTAACATAAATAGGTATAGCTATCTCGACGAGTATTATAAATGCGAAAGTTATTTTTCTTGTGGTATTTAGTGTGTAAACAGATTTTAGTTTTTATGCAAACAGATTTGAGTACAGAAAATACCTCTAACACGAATTTATTACAATAATAATAAAAGTGTGTAACGCGAGAGTCAGCAGTAAGTGAGAGAAGGTAGTAGGTAGGCTCCCGCGCTCCCGGCACATGGCCACCACATAGCCGAACATTACCGAGCTAGGTTTCGCTCGTGCATGCGCGCTCTCCGCATCTCCACACGGCCGGCGCAATTTTCGGGGGCACGAACCTTCGCGACTTTTCCCGAGGCCTTAGTACGAGTTTGTTTTACGTTAAAAGTTATCGTTACGAGTACGCGTTCGGCGCTCTGATTGGCCGGCGCCAATGAACCAACCAATCACAGCGTACTCGTTACGATTACTCTAAACGAAAAAGAAACTCGTACTAAGCCCTCAGAACACCAATACGCATGCGCGAGACGCGTGTTGCTTGCGGCGTCCAAGCAGCAAGAGGCCGCCATAACGCTAGCCGCGAAAACCGTACCTCCTGACGCAGGTCCTCACCGGATATGGGAGCTTCGGGAGGTACCTTTAAAAAAAGCCGCGAAAACCGACGCCTGCGATACGAATCTTCGATGACTCGCGTCGTAGTTTAAGTTCTGCATAGTTTCATTGTTAGTGTTTCCGTTTTATACCTAAGACTCAATAAGTAAATTGTACACCAAATGATTGTAATTATTTTTGTGAACTGAGATCAAACGATTTTGTCAAGTTTACAAGTGTTAATAATTGTGACAACCCTATGAAAACTGACCAATACGAGTAATAATACACTATACACATAGGATTACAACTTGTAATATAATTTGTAAGATAAATACACATTTGTCATCATTATATTACCTACTTTTTGCAATATTATACAATGAAATGGAATTTTTATACAGGCTGAGGTGAATCCCAAGATACATGAAAAAGAAACATGAATTAATAACAGGAGTGACGTCATAATTGCTTTGTTATTAGAGTTATTACTACTGTGTAACCAATGAGCATTTTTCAGACAGTACAATCGAATTTATGAAATAAATTATTATTTAATTAATTAATCAAGAATCGTACGACCTGCTACAACTTTTAACGTTACCTAAAATCAAATACATAAATAATTATTTTATCAATAAACATTAAAGTGATGATTAGTTAAGTAATTTACATGGTTTCTAATTAAAGATTATCTATTCACTACTATTTTTAAAATGGTGCCGATACAAACACACACACAGACCTATAAACGTGCATACAAACGAACAGACAAAAATCCAGAATACAGTTGAAACACATTCCATCATGGTATATTTAAAATACTACTTCTGTATAATTATTTCTGTATTTTGTAGTTGTATATGAGTTAATTAAAATTTAAATATAATTTAATTACATTTAAAGCTATAGATTAAGCTTAATATCTAAGGAGTCGATTTTGTGTTGAGTGGTTCATGGTTCGTACTGCGTGTACTCCGTCTGGAACAAAAAGTTATGCGAGTCTTAATTTAAATAATAAATAGCATTTAATATTACCAAATAATGGTGGAAAGGAGATATACGATGACGATTCCGGCCACCGTAAGCACGGGTTTGCAGTCGGCGAGCACGGGTAACTCGCTGGCCGACCAGAACCAGACCCAAGCGTACGGCACACCTCAAAGACCAACACAGATGGGGCCCAGTAGGACTGATGCCCGATGCAGAGCCGCGGAGGATGAAGCAGTAACGGGGTGGTTTCTAGTCAAAAAGATTACGACACTCTCGCCTTACCTAAGGAGGGCGAAGTCGGGTTGCTATTTAAGAAACGATGACGTTACTTCGTCGTTTCTTAAATAGCAACCCTAGACATAATTAAGCAACGATGTCCGACATTGTGCCTAATAAGGTGAAGTCGCTTGCAAACATTTTAGATACACAAAACCACACTTGTATCATTAATCAAGGATTTAAATAACCATTGCGGTTTTTGTTTACAAATATTAAAATGATATTAGTTGAAAACAAGCATTGTAAAAGGTCATTGAATTAAATTTAGATCAGATCACCGCTTCTGATGCATTTGAATGCATTTAAGGAGATTTGTGTGAGATTAATGTCTATTATATGCAAAGGTTGACGTCATGCTTTAGATTTTACAAGTCAGATTATTTTATAAGGAGATGTGTAATATTTCATCATAACATTAGCATAGTAGTGGCTGGTTATTACTTGAAGACTCCAAGAAGACAGAACAGATAGTTAAACTCTAAAAATTAATTCGTTATAATTCTATATAGATTTGGTTTTCAAAAGGTCTGTCCGTGACTTCAAAATATTTGTTTTTTAATACAATACGTTTAAGGGGATCTGAATCAGATCGTAACAAAAACAGTAAACAGTATCCAGATAGAATAAGTGTGGGAGGCCATCTTTCGGAACGAATGGGCCGGTTCGACCGGAGTGATACCACTGCCAACGCTTACGTTGTTTTTCGATCCCCCTCTCCCATTTCCCAATCTCCTTGAATCCCTAACAATCCTCAAATTCCTAATCTCCAAAAGGCCGGTAACGCACTTGTAACGCTTCTGGTGTTCCAGGTATCCATGGGCGACGCCGATTGCTTATCATCAGTTAATCCGTCTCATTTACTGCCTTATCCTATCCCATAAAAAAATGGAATATTTCAAACGAAATCATATTGAATTTTCACACTTTTTAATTGAAGAACTTGTTTTTGATATTATCTAGCAATAACCTCACGTCTTGTGCAAGGATGCGACCACAAAATAACACTAGCATTCACAATCGATATGAAGTATCAAAATAAAGTGGCAACACTATGCGAAGTTAAATATTTCTTAATGTTTTCCGAAAGACCAGTGGTATACATAGCAACAGTCTTTATTACTATTATGAAGTTATTTTTGTTATGCTTTCATACCAAAGATTAACACTACAGAGGGTACCTTTTGGGTTCGAACCCTCAGCGGGATCATTAAGGCAGCCAAGGCAGGGCAGCAAGTAAAGATAGGTTTGGTCGGATTATTATCGGAAACATCGAATGACTTTTTGATATGTTTTTTTTTTATATTTGATGGGCCAATATTTGACCACTATCTCGCCTGGTGGTAAGCGATGATGCGGTCTATGATGGATGTCGTCGTTCCATAAGCATCCTATTCACTTGGGCCTTGAAGACACCCTTCAGGAAATTTGGACAAGAGGTTTACAGGGACCTCTGTCCAGAGGCCTTAATACGAATTTTTACGCATACTCTTCTAATATACTAGATACTTTTAATTTATTTTTATTTATATATTATTATATAAGTTATATATATATTAAATAAATACTAAACAACATGCGTTCGGCACCCTGATTCGTTCGTTCATTGAAGCCGGCCAATTAGAGTCGGCATTAGCCGAATTTTGTCTCTTCATTAGAAGGTTACTAGAAACAAGGTGGAATGTGGACACATCTTTGCTTATTATTTTTTTTAAGTCACAACTATAATACTATTATCTATTTATCTTTAACTAGCTACTTTATTTATTAGCTTAGCTTATTGATGCTGTATGATGTTTTATAAATAAATAGACTATCTATCAAAAAATATTCTTTTAAATCGGACCAGCGCTTCCTGACTTTAGCGCGTCCAAACCAACAAACTCTTTGGCTTTATAAATAAGTATAAAATTTGATGATTAAGATGTTCAATCTCCAATAGCCTTGGCTAACCAGATCTTGTAAGTAGGTACAAACATACTCATCAAACTTTATATAAAGGACTTTGATTATTTTACATAAATTATCTAACTTTGCATACTAATGTATGTATTTGAAGTAAATAGTCTAGTTTTCGGTGAATTTAAAATTTAAATTTGAACTCAATTATGTCAGCTTAGAGTTGGGTTTCCAGTGAAACTGGCAGATTTGATTGTCAAGCTTGTTTGATGTTAGTCTCGGTTTTATTTGTCTATTTTCGACCATATTTGAGGATCAAACTAGGAAATTGCAGCCGTGCGAAGTCAAGTGTGTCACTAGTGTTATAAATATTGTATAAATTGATTACTAATCTATATAAATAGTCGCGGAGAACCTAACGGGTAACCGGGGCTCCGGCTCGACGTGCAGAAGAAGGAACGGGGTGGTTTTTAGTCAGTAAGATTCTGACACTCGCTCCCGCCTCACCCAGGCGGAAGCAGTCATTCGATGATTTTCTTTTTAAAAAAGCTAAGTAATTATTGTTGGCTAAGTAATTATTATAGAATCCTTACTATCCTTACTAATATTATAAATCGGAAAGTGAGTTTGTTTGTTTGTTTGTTTGTTCCGCTTTCACGCCGTATCTACTAAATCGATTGCTTTGAATTTTTGCAGACGTAAAGTTAGAAGTCCGAATTAAATAATAGAGTACTTTTTATCCCGGAAAAAATTGATATTCCCGCGGGAAAACAAAAGTATTTGTATAGATGGCGCTGTATGTATTGGTATATGTCACATAGGCTACTTTTATCCTTTTGTGACGCGAGCGAAGCCGCGGGTAAAAGCTAGTTGGAATATAAATTGAATGTCATTATATGTCCGTTAGTATTATCACTAAAGTTCAATGTATAAACACGTCACCAGTAGAATGTGTAATCACGTAAACATTATTATTGCGACATCAAATTGCATTGGATGCCATTTGATTTCAATGAATATGTCAGACGGTTGCAAAAAACTTTGATTAAAAAGTTACCATTTGCAATCTTGCTTATAAAATAAGACAAGTAGGTACTTGAGAAGGTTTTTTCGTCTCTTCAATGTCTTTAGTCCACCGTTTATCACCTTTTTTTAAAAAAAAAATACCGGTCGAATTGAAAACCTCCTTTTTAGCAAATCTGAGGAAGTCAGTTAATTACTATTAATTAGTTAAAGCATGACAATACTACAACACACTTTGGGCGAGAAAAGCGTCGTATATACTGTGGGGTCGTTTCTCGCCATAGATATATAACTCTCATCATATCAGTGTTTCTCACGCATTGAAATTGTTTGTGCGATCCACAAATTGCTCCAAGTGAAAGAACGTCAACAAATACAAAATAAATAATAGTCTGAAAACTCCATTCGTTACTCTTTTTCAAAAAAGTCTGTTTTCCAATGTATCTGATACTTATGGTGTTCTGAGTGTGTATGTGAAATTACCGGGTTCGTTACTTGTTAATTGTAACGCATTCACGATACAGGAGAATATTCTGGTGTGGTGCATTAAAAAAAGTTAGTTATAAGCAGAGAAATAAAAAATTACTCAGTATAGAGGCAGTAGCTATTAATACATTAAGGATTGATTTACAGCAAAATAAATATCATTGGAGTAATAATTTAGAATATTAGACAATTTTTCCATACTAAAAACTGTCGAATGACAATTTATACGTCAATAATGACAATAATGACATGGCTTGGTTAATTATAGATATGGTTTTTAACCAAGCCATGTCATCTGAAAGCATTAGCGAATTCAGTAGCCAACCATTGGTTACTGTCTCTGTTCTGAATCAATATTTATTTTCAAACCTGCATACGAAATAGGTTGCTAATGGAACGACGTGCTCCATCGTAGACTACATCATCGCTTACTACCAGGTGAGGTAGAGGTTAAACGACGGCCCATCAAATATATACTTATGTATAGAAAAAAATAGCTGTGCTGACTGTACGTAACACTGAAAACGAACCTTCGGTGGTAACAGATCAGATGACGGCACGCTGACATCCTGAGTAGACAAGAAGGGAGTGACACTCGTCGGCTTAATGTTTAATTTGTTAGGAATATTATCAGCTGTAGTGGTAATCCCATTGAACGACGATGTTACTACAGGAGTAGGCTTCACGCTATTATTGAAGTCAATATTCAGTACGGGCAACGGCGCTGGCGCACGCACAGTAGTCGGCGCAGGCGCATCGGGCAAGGGAAACACTCTCCACCCACTCACAACACAAATTACACAGACTAAAAAAACGAAATTAATCTTCAACATGATTATTGATTACAGGTAGCAAACAAGAGAACGCGACGACTGTTTAGATTAGAATGGTTGTCGTGTATAATAATTTATGACGATTTTAGCACTCCAGAAGTATTTGTATTAACATAAATTCTTTAGTAAGAGTGGATCACCCTGAAACGAGAACGGTCGTCGAGACCTATACACCTACGTAAAGATGAGCGGAAGATGGTTATACCACTATATATAAATGGTACTCTTTATACATGATATTCAAAAGAAACCGCAAAAAGCAAATATGGGTGGAATTTGATGTACTTGAATAGACGTATGTGCGTATATTTATTGGCTGACATAACTCGTATCGCTCTAGTCTTTGGAATTATGATATTGATAAACAACTTTGTTCTGGGTTTTCCTTAAAGGAGCAGGAAGTAGTTAGATAATAATTAATGCCTGCATGGTTTAAACTGTCAAACACCAAGCGGTCACCGGTGACCGCAACCTATTGTTCTATAATTGTGTCTACAAAACCGGTACTCGACGAGTTAAGAGATAATATTAATTCTGTCCACGTCTTAATAATCGGAGATCAAGCTTTTATTCCTTAATAACTTCTACCACTTTCTCATTGGCCGAGTGGTCGCAAGTGTGACTACCGGGCAAGGGGTTTCGGGTTCGATTCCCGTGTCGGGTAAAGCATTACTGGGTTTTAAAAAAAAATCTCACTAGTAGCACGGAGGTCGGAAATGTGCCCGGTATATGGCAATAGGCCCCCTATTATATTGTATGTAATTCCAGACCATAATCTACTCCTATTCCAATTTTTATCGCGATCACTTCAGCCGTTTTATCGTGAAGGAGAAACAAACAAATAATCACAAACATTCGCATTCCCCTATCTTTCACTAAATTCACTAAATATAACGTTATGAATCTTATGTACCTAGTAGACAACGACCAAATTATCTCTCGTTGAGCACAGATCTAGACGTCGAGCTACTATTAAAAAGTTACCTGAGGCCTTAGTACGAGTTTAAAGTAATCGTAACTAGTACGCGTTCGGCGCTGTGATTGGTTGGTTCATTGGCGCCGGCCAATCACAGTGCCGAACGCGTACTCGTTTCGAATACTTTAAACGTAAATCAAACTCGTACTAAGGCCTCTGATAAACACACAGTAGAGAAACGTAGTAACGTAGTAGAAGTTTTTTAACTAGCCCCCAATATAAACCAGTAATCAATAAAGTCGTACAATGTAGACACAAGAGAAAAACATACTTACCTTACAAGTAAGTCCGTTTTTTACATATATCCTGGTCAATTTAATACATTGAAACTACCATAAATAGTATATTAAATAAATAATGAAATAAACACTGTGATGAAACAAATCCACATCCACATATACGACTGTTTACCAAACACGGGCTAATCAGTCTGAAAATAATTAATGACTTATTTATAGATAACTTCTGTCTTATATATCGATATATTTACTCTCTTATATAAGGGAGTAAATAAAATAAGTAAGTGATACGCCAAAGAACAAAGTTTTACATTCCTCAAAGACTGAAGGGATAGGGAGAGGTATCTTACGGCATCGAATACTCCTCTCTTAACTTGAAAGATTTAAACAAAGATTTTAGAGATTCACATAATATGCATGGCCACCATGGTTGACCCAATCGTTTATAACTAGCTCTTTTTTAGGAACAGATTCCATAATCTCAATAATCTTGACGCTGTATTGTCGTTACATCATTCTCACATAAACAATTATACAGTATTGAGTCGAATAATGTATCAATGAGATTTCAAAAAACATTTTGTTTTTAAAGAGTAACAATGAAGTTTCTTCTAAGTTCGAAATTACGCTTTGAAACACGTACAAAGTCGAAGTCAAAGCATTTATTTCAATTAAACCATAATTTGGTACTTTTGAAACGTCAACAAATACAAAATAAATAATAGTCTGTTAGTCAGTCCGCCAGTGAAGTTACCTAGCTTCACCTGAAGCTAGGTGCTCATTCCAAAATGTAGCTTCAAATGGAGAAGAACGAGCAAGAAACTCCATTCGTTACTCTTTTTAAAAAAGTATGTTTTACAATGTCTCTGTTACATATTACAATATTGTACGTATATGTGAGAACAATGCAAATACCTAGTTTCACTGACAGACAGACTGACGATGACGAGATATTCAATTTAGACGTTTCAAAAGTGCCTAATTAAGAATGAATTACGAAGGATTACGTCTTTGACTTTGCACAAAACTATCGCAGCTAAGCGCAAAAATATTGGGTGGTTCAACCTATGTTACAGCACTGTCAGTAAGAATTCGGTATTGGGATTTTACGAAGCCCAAAAAACGCACTGATACAAGACATTGTCTAGTGGTCAGGAGTATGTACATATACATAAATGAGAACCGAGTATGTAGCAGTTATTCAAAACAGTTACCATACGAAGGTTAAACAAATATATTCTGAATTAGCGAGTGACACTTCACCATGGGTTTTACGTAATACTAACTGAATTATTTGTTCTGCTGATGCCAATGGCAGTGCGGTCAACCGCAGTCATTACATTGTAATAAAAAAAAAACTACCCTTATGGCTTATGAAATAGAGATGATGAGAAGGTTACTGTTAATGATATTCGTGGTTCAAAAGCTTAATTGATTGAGAGTGCAAGTGTATGTCAATGTCGAGAAAAGAGCCTTGGAAACCATGTATTTGTTGGGCCAGGAAAATATATATATATACATATCAAATTTTCAATTATCAATTTTCTCTCTTAGGGGTAGACAAAGACTGTGGAACGCCAGTTGCTACAAATCATGAGAGGAAAAAATTATTGAATTAATGATTTCTCGATATTTGTAGGTAACATTTTCAATTGTCTGATGCAATGAAAATTCATAATTACTGAAATTGAAAATTCTTCATAGAACTCCTAGAAAATCTACCATTTACAATTACTGAGAAGTATAAAATCACTACACATCGTCCTTATGTATGCTTAGATCTTTAAAACTACGCAACGGATTTTGATGCGGTTTCTTTTAATAGATAGAGTGATTGTTAAGGAAGGTTTATATGTATAATACATGCATATTGCACCCATGCAAAGCCGGGGCGGGTCGCTAGTATACGATATAAATACAAATACACAATAAAATGGTACTCACCAAAATTACTGACGATAGTAAAATTCACGTATTCCTGAAGCTGTTAACAAAGAATTGGGATGTGTCACGTTGTCCAGATAAGGATACGGCATAACTTTGAGTACTTCCGAAGGTACACTCAGGATGCACTCCAAAAATAATATTACCAACATAGGGATCAGAAAAAACTTCATGGTTGATGGCCCGACAATTTTCTATTCACTGAACACAACAGCAGCAATGCATGTAAATTCAAGATAACAGTCACGTTGAAACATTTGACCCCAGAGATAGTGGCACATGTGATTTTAAAACACAATAATAAGCTGAACTCTTATTATAAGAATAAAAGATCTAGTTCTGGGACTAATGTGACATATACTTACATGTATTAAACTAGAACTAAATCTCCCGAACCCGATCAATTTCGATCATGGTGGCAAGACTGATTAGACTCACTAGACTAGCCCTACGCAGGATATATTATAGTGTACAAGTGTATGCACAAACACAAGTCCACTCTCTATTCCTTAACTCTCTGAACCCTAGGGGGCGGCAGATCGACACAACCGAAGAGAGATCAGGCACAGGACCAGCGGCCTTACGTTTTTCCGAGGCACGTGGGTGAAACACCGAACTTCCTGACTCCGAGTTATTTTACTCGCCCAACCACTGCGCCAATCGTGCAGTCAAAGTAGAATTGTATTAATTTTACCTAGTATAGCCTCTACGACATCTCCTATTAGTTCGATGCCATAGTCCTCATCGTACTATTCACCATTGTTTTCCCCATTAACCTTTTACGCCGAAATAAAATTCACCGCAGAGATCCAACGGTTACCCGTCTTTATGACGATGTCATCGGTCTAAGTATGCAGTTGAAGTCTGCTTATACTAAGTTTTATGGTCGGTAGTCACCACTTCACCACTTTTCTACCTCTTCAAACATTTATATGAGCAATGCTTCACATTTCCTAACCATGTTGTAGATTAAGTATAAATTAGATGTCCATAACTTTGGCCCGTCAGCGAAAGTCTTGTAAGTTAGCTTTTTCTTTATCCACAATCATGACCTACTTCAGGTTCCTTAGGTATATGTATCTCACACCATTTACCAAAATGATATCGCATCTCTTTCATAATTGAACGTAAAACCAAACAATTTTCGGCTTTCTGAGTCCTCAAGTCCTCAATGGACAATAGGGTAGATGACGAATTTTTATTTCAATGTCCGTCTGGTAGATTATTTTGAAACATTACACACGTATTTTTTATTTTTTTTACAGAAAAGAATACTTTTTACTATATATTGATTTGAAATGTCGCGTTACGTCACTTCTATGTACATTTTATAAGTAAAATTGACGTTTTAGCCTCTACTCCTAAACTTTGATTCGTTATATATCTAAGTATCATTTTATAAGTGTGTAATATTTTTTCATTACCTGACTGATGGACTAATTACATTTTTGATTTTCATACCCTGTCATCATCCCTATTGAAATAATTCTTACTTGCAAGTTTTTCAAAAAAGATAACTGCATTATGTCAACTCTACTTGTATAACACGCCAACGAATACAGCTACACTCAAATACAGTTACGATAACAAAAAGAATAAATCATAATATTAAGGTAATGAATGGCAATGCTCATTATTATTGATGACTATGGATCCCCAAATAACAGTTTCAATTCAATCACCAAAATTGCAGACATAACTTTAGTATTCACCAAGCGTCACTATAATAAAGATCGTTTATAATCAAAAAGGTTTGGACTGAGACCAAAGTTCTGAGTCATGGGAGATGCCCACCATGCTATTATGACGTACCTTCTTTGTTCGTATTCAAATTACGTGTGTAACATTTCATGTAAGTATTTGTGATCGTTTCAATTCAATTCGACTACTGGAAAATCCTTGGTAAATTTGGTCTAACTAAATTTGTATCCGTATTCCATGAATATCAATTATATTATCGATTTGTTACTAAGTACATAGGTATTCTTTTGTACTGATACAACAGTACTTGTATGTCAACGTGTACAAAATAATGTATAGAATATTTATAAATGTAGTTACGATGCCCTTTCGAAAGAAGAGACAAAAAAATTGAACGAAATACTTTGTATTTAGGCTTAAAGGTCATCTTTTACGTATCGTGTAGTTCATTAACTATAGCAATTTCAGGCACTTTCAGGTATTATCTGTTTTTGTATAAGTTTAACAAGAGGGTGTGATTGTATAAACGTGGGTATATTGGATTCACATGCCATTTTATACAAGATACTTTCACGGACTGAAATATACACGTTCCTAACAAGCCTGCGCAAACAGTTGCCTGACTAATATTGTTAATAAACAATACTCATAATTTACCTATTTGTTACGAAATGTTTTACTTGCCAACCTGGAAATAATATACTTATACGGATTTTTTTGGGTTACGGGATTGTAGCCTCGTTACCTACGTCATACGTGGGCAACCTCAAAAAGGCGCCAAGCTTTTTGGAAAGAAAAACTAAGTAGGGATTTGTACTTCACTGTGGAGTTAATATTTCCAGTAGACGTTTAATGGCTGATATGATAATGATAATATTTTTAAGATTGCTTTTAATTTCATCATCATCAACAGCCTATAAATGCCCACTGCTGAGCAAAGCCTCTTTTCACACGGAGAAGGTTTGAGCATTAATTACCACGCTTGCTCAATGCGGGTTGGTGATAAGAAACTTATAATTATAAATTATTAGCCCAGGATTCCTTACGATGTTTTCCTTCACCAGTTCACCATTTGTCATTGGTGTCTAGATCTGAGAAAGTACATATAACTCGGACAAAATCACATTGGTACTTGCCGTTGGTAGGTTTCGAACCCGCATTCTGATGATGCACTCCGCATACATGAGAAGAGGGCAACTTAAACCTCCGGGCCACCACGACATTTTAATTTACTATTAAATAAATAATAACAGAGTTAATAAGCGTAAGAACCTAGTTGCCAGTACCAGTAAAGACAGAACAAAAAATTTGTATCTCTAAGATATTTTTAGCCAAGGCGGGTAGGACCGGTTTGCGGTCCTTGAAGGCGAGATACATCTTCAACTTGTACCTGTTTTGTTTACGTCTGAACTGCTTTTAGGAACAGAAAATAATTTCCTACAATAGGTACATAAGTACTACCCATGAAATTATTTTTAAATAATCTCAGTATTTGTGTTAGCAATGAGAAGTATAAATGAAACTCGTGGTGCGGTGACGACCCTTGCAAACAGTTTTTTTTGCTGCAAATATGAATAAACGTGGTGATTAAATCGGTGTCGCCCATTGACACTTTAAGTCTGAACTGGATGAGTTTTAAGTGCAGTGTCTTTGCTGACCTTATGAGATTTGAGGTAATCCTCAGGGGAGTAGGGGAGCCTCATGTCGCGGAGAACCTAACGGGTAACCGGGGCTCCGGCTCGACGTGCAGGAGAAGGAACGGGGTGGTTTTTAGTCAGTAAGAGTCTGACACTCCCTCCCGCCTCACCCAGGCGGGGGCAGTCATTCGATGATTTTCCCCCCTTAAAAAAAAAAAAAAAAGGGGAGCCTCATCGTATCTTTTTTATGGCACAAGCCGGTAAACGAGCAGACGGATCACGTGATGGTAAGCAATCGGCGTCGCCCATGGACACCTGGAACGGATTAGGAGTTTGAGGATCGTTGGGATTCAGGGATTGGGGTGATTGGGGAAGGGGAGAGTGATTGGGCCTACGATAACCTCACTCACACGACGAAACACAACGCAAGCGTTGCTTCACGTCGGTTTTCTGTGAGGCCGTGGTATCACTCCGGTCGAGCCGGCCCATTCGTCGTCGAAGTATGGCTCTCCCACACTTCAACCTGTGTACCATGTCTCTCAAAAATCATCATCATCATCAGCCTGTATTCGTCCACAGCTGGACATAGGCCTCTCCAATTAATAGATCTCGAATCTCCAAAATGTCAAAAATAGATCTCATAAACTGTTACGAGGGCTATTTTTTTTAATCTCCTCATTACCCTATTGGGTGCATAAAACTCATTACCTACTTACCATTGTAGCTAATAGAATTTCTGCTAAGGATCTTGGGTTTCAGAGTGTTAATGTTACACACAATAATAAATTTAAAGCGTGTGCCTGATATGTTTCATGAGCAATTGTTACTAATACCTAAGTTTGCAAATACGAAGACAGTATATAAGGAGGTTAAAAGGCGCTCAAGCTTAAAGTACCTACTTACACTTTTAAATCCTCGTTGAGATCTAAGGTTCCATCATGATGACGATCACTGTATAATTGGATCATCAGGATTTTCTCAATTAAATTTAACTTGATGACATAACATAACATCACGCCTTTTATCCCCAAAGGGGTAGGCAGAGGTGCACATTATGCCACTGTACAATGTTAACACCCACTTTTCACTATTTATGTTATGTAATAGGAGGTGGGTATTGCTATATACCGGGCGCAGTTCCAGACTCCGTGCTACTGCTAAGAATTGGCAACATGCTCTGTGGTTGGAAGCAGAGAGCTCAGTAGTGTGCTATTAGAGAAGTCTAAGTCCAGTATCAGCATGGAAACGGGCTGACGATGTAGATAACTTTAGCTGTTATCTAGAGGTACTATCTACAACTTACATAATAACGTAGGTTATGTAGGGACACACTAGTATGCAATCGTTTACGTAATACGTATACGATTGTAGGTATGTGTAAGATATCTATTTACATTTGTGACATAGGTAGGTAGTAATCAATCATTAACGATAAAATGGGGTGAATAGGGATCGAGATGTGAATAGGGACAGAAGAGGGGTAGATCGATACTATGAAGAATTTCCCAATATTTATTCATCCCTCTTCTGTCTTCATTCACCTCTTGATCCCTATCCACCCTATCCTCCCTCCTCCCGAGCGTACGGCGCGTCGCGTTCCGCGCGCGCCTCAAAGAGCCATCAGACCACCACAGATGGGGCCCAATAGGGCCGATGCCGATTCGGAGTCCCGGAGAACCTAACGGGTAACCGGGGCTCCGGCTCGACGTGCAGGAGAAGGAACGGGGTGGTTTTTAGTCAGTAAGAGTCTGACACTCCCTCCCGCCTCACCCAGGCGGGAGCAGTCATTCGATGATTTTCCCCCCTTAAAAAAAA